ATTGACCACCACTTGTATATTGATTAAATCATTAATACTAAGGAAATAGAATTATTGAAGCTAATGCCATTACAAAAGTGGAATAAAATAATAAATTCTTAAATACAATTAATTATATATTTTGATTGATAAAAAACAAACTTAGTGTCACTGGACTATTTTAATGTGGGAGAGCATATATAGTGGGTGGCAAATGAAATAGTTTTATTTATTTCAGAATGAAGTGAGGAATATGCTAACAGATAGCTTTGGTTTAATTGATTAAATGGATAATGTGGATTTTTATATAGGTCGAAACCTTTTGTTTATTAACAAATCAAACCTAAAATCTAAGATCGAAATCTAAATCAAAAATTTCTAAAACCTAAAACTTCCAAAAAAATCTTCCCTTCAAAAAAAATCCAAATCTCATCTCTTTTATACATGTTAATTACTTATACACTGCTTAAGCACGATTTCAAGTTCAAACAGTATGTTTCATGTTAACCCTGATTCCTGTTTATGCTTGATTTCAAGTTTAAACATGAAATCGTGTTTAAACCATATTCTAACCAAATAAGTACATGGAATGATCATAATAAATAAATATAAAAATAAACAATATAAATAAATAAAATAAATAAATTGAATTGCATAATGAATCACGTTATTCTGTTAACATTAGCTTTTTTGTTGCTATTTAATCCTTTCCTTCTGTGAATACCTGCTCCATTAAATATTCATGATGATTATTATGATTATTAAATACATTTGATGTTGTCATTGACATAACAAAAAATTGCATCACCCAAATATAAATAATACCAAGACCATGCAGAAATGAAACTTTTTAAGTCTAAACAATAAATGTGTGTCTACCCAGATCTCTGGGGTTCACAAAATAAATTATTTTTTCTGATTATCAATTATGGTTCCTTATGAATAATAAATCTGATGTTGATCACAGGGGTCAGATTTAATTGAAATTTTCCTGTCACAAACATACAAATTAGTGCTTTCACACACCCTCATAATTGTGAAATTTCTCCCATAAGTGAAGGCCATCCATACGTCAGAAGGCTTTGGACAAAACTTTCCCTTATCTTCCTCTCAGACCAAACTTGTCTGTTTCCATATGGACATTGATAACTGATGAGGATCAGCATTTGTGTGATGATTGCTTTGTGTTATACCTCTTTAGAATAAAGTCAGTGTCTGCAACTGGTTCAAAATTCTCTGATGCAGGAGGGTTGTTGTTTGGATTCAGAGTTTTGAGTCCTCTTGTTGGTGGCATGCCAACTCACCAACAACCCTACCCTCATTTAAATAACAAATTCAGTTGGTCAAATAAAAATTTAGAGAAGCAGAAAATATGGGAATGATTAATTTATGCATAACATACCAAACAAAACCTGAACCATTTTATTTCACAGCTTTCTCCTTGATGCCAATGATCATGGTGACTATCACAATAGGAGTGGGCAGTGTCAAACTGCCATCATTATACTGTCAAGATACATACTCTCATTGAGCTACACTCCTTTAACCTAGGGTGGGTTATATGGGAAAAAGCTCACATTTAAATAACAAATTCAGTTGGTCAAATAAAAATTAAAGAAACAGAAAATTTATGGGAATGATTAATTTATACAAAACATACCAAACAAAATTCGAACCATTTTATTTTACTAACATCAGAGCCCAAATGCATTTCAGGGCCACCAATCCTGCTCTGAATTGCAACCTCCTGTGCTTGAAACGAGCTGCAGATTCTCTTAATATCCCTCCAGAGTTTGTGACTTGGTCACAGAGCCATCCTTACCCTAGAGGTAGGATCGTTGTAGGCAATTTTTTGGCTAACATGCCAGCAGCCTTCTCTAGTCTGGATGCTGTGAGGGAAGGTTAGTGAAAAGCGTCATTGAAAATTGATGCAGTCTCAGTAAACTCCAG